CCCCGCCTGGGGGGGGGGGGGGCGCAGGAGCGGGTTCGCCTCGGAGACTCCCCGTGGCGAGCTGGGCCGCCGCCCGGCTGTCCTCCGCCCGCGGTGAGGGAGGAGGGGCTCGGTGAAGGGACCCGTCAACGCTGCCGGCGAGAGCGGGTGCTCAGCCTCAGCCGGGCTGGGGCAGGGGGGCGGCTGTGCTCCGAGCCGGCTGCTCTTCCTCCCCTCCCCGGTGCTGTGCGCTCTGCTCGAGGTCCAACTTAAGCTTGAGCCCGTCAGCGTGCTCAGAGCCTGAAGCTGTGAGAGAACGAGGTTTCTGTGTACAACCCCCAGCCTGGGGGGAGGCTGGAGATGTGAATAAGCCCTGCCAAACCTGGGCTCTCGGGGTGAGCTTCTTGTACACAAGACTGTACCAAAGAGAAATGCCCCCTGGCAGTCAGGCTGTCATTTCTTCTTACACCTAGCGACAGTGTCGGAGAGTTGAGTGTTGCGAGTCGGTATTGTGAGTTAGGAGAGTTGGCTCTTTTGTTCTCCCTAATACCTAATGTATAAACTTAAAAGTATAAAAGCATTTTAGAATGGTAATTGAATGTAGTATAGAGCACAAATCTTACGGGGAGCGGCTGGGGGAGCCGGGGTTGTTTAATCTGGAGAAGAGGAGGCTGAGGGGAGACCTTCTGGCTCTCTACAGCTACCTGAAAGGAGGTTGTAGCGAGGTGGGGGTCGGTCTCTTCTCCCAGGTAACAAGCGATAGGACGAGAGGAAACGGCCTCAAGCTGCTCCAGGGGAAGTTTAGGTTGGATATTAGGAAAAACTTCTTCACCGAGAGGGTAGTCAGGTGTGGAACAGGCTGCCCAGGGAAGTGGTTGAGTCTCTATCCCTGGAGGTATTTAAAAGACGGGTAGACGTGGCACTTATGGACATGATTTAGCGGTGGACTTGGCAGTGCTACATTAATGGTTGGACTCGATGATCTTAAGGGTCTTTTCCAATCTAAATGATTCTATGATTCTATATAACAGTTGTGGTTTTTTTTTTTTTAGGTGGTTGTGAATAGTGCTGCTTCTTTTGTTTTAGCATCAACTTTTAATCTGATTTTTAGTTTCTTAACAGTATGCAGTTATGGGCATTATCAATAGAATAATGTTGACACATCTTAAAATATATCTGTGAATTCATCTTTTTCCTGTCTTGAGTACAGCCCCCTTTTCCCCCAAAGCCTTTTGATATTGGTAAACTTGTTTGTAACTTGTCATCTCTTTGTTACCTTTAAGCTAACTATATAATTGTAAAATATGTTTTTCTTCTATCCTACAGTGCTTCACATGTAGTCGTCTCTCTTGTGAAAAACTATCCAAACTATCTGATTATTAATCTGGATAAGGTAAGTAGCTTGTTTTCTTTCTTGATACGGAAAACTGTTTTAAATGATTTTTAATGCAATCTATAGCATAGTGAAATTTATATGGATTATTGTTATTTATTAAATTTTTGCTTGACTATCGATTTGTTCCTATGCAAAAAAAAAAAATTCAGTTGCTGTTCATGCTTGCAGTCCTGTGCCCACCACAAATAATTATTTGCAAAAAAAAAAAAAATGAAGCTTTTGAAGTTCTAAACTTCTGTTTAAGAATTTTTGCAGTTAGGGTGTCTTTCAGAGTTTTGTGTTTTAAATGCTTCATCATGTCTGCTTGCAAAATAGCTTTTCTTTTGAAAGTAGTTTCTACTTTGTTCTCAAACTTTCTAGTAATTAGGTTGGATCTGAGTTAGCTTATTTAGTTTCATGATGCCCACTTAATGATATTGTGTGGGTATTTCTCTTTAGCTTGACTACTGTGCAAGCTTGAAGAATCTTGAAACTGTCTCTGAGAAGGAAAACTACAAGTTTATCCAGGTGAGAAAGCCTTCCCTTCTAGGGAATTTGACTTTTTACTGATTTTTATGCCTTTGTATTAACATAACATGGCCTCCAGAACTCCACAAACTAGAAGCCACTGCTTTAATTTATGGTAAAGTTGAAATTACTTCTGATTCATTGTCAAGAATGAGTCAGTGTATGTAATCTGCCAATGTATGTGACAATCACATGGACATAACAACATTTACTTCATCTGTTTACCTTATTAATAGACTTCATATTTCACCCACAGAAGTCTGTGACAATATGCAGTATGTTCTGTCTCTTACATGAAGTAGTCTTTTGAAAGTTGATATATTTTATTGTACAATAAAGGTACAGAATTGGTAAAAGCCTGATTATGGAGATGAGTGGTTTTAGGGATGATTGTTTCACTTTTGATAGGTGGTATGGACAAGATGGACTCAGATTTGGCTCCTCCATGCTTCTCTGATGCCATCTTAGATTTTGCACCTTCAAACACTGCCACTTGTCATATTCCATGGTGCGCAACACGCTCTTTCTTGTTCTGTTAGCACTAGGCATCAGGCTACCTTCTTGCTATTGCAGCTGTTGATGCTGTGTAGTTCATAGTTGTTTTGGAACAGGGTCTCATGGGAGCATTCAAGGTATGCCTTTTCTTTTTAAAATTTTGCCAGTTAAATTAGTTTACTGTGTCCACAGTTTTATCTTCAGACAGGAGATGGATTTAGATTTATCGTTCAGATAAACTTTCTGCTGGGTTTGTACGCTGAGGTTCTTCCCCTCTATGAAAGTCAGTACTGATGCTGGTCTCTGTCTAGCTGGGCTGCCCGAAGTTGCAGGACATCAGAGAAATGCATATAGTTTAGTTTTCTGAAATAGCAACTTTGTCGGAGGTTGTAGATGTAAGTTAAACATATTTCTTAGATTCAGGCAAGGTTGGGAATTGAACTTGTCCTCACCTGTTTGGTGACCCCCATGGCTGTTTACGTTTTTGTGAACCTGCCTCTCTATTTCAGTAAGTGATTGTCCCCGAGCTGTTGGGATAAAAGTTGCATGAGCGGAAAAGGAATGTCTGCTACGCAAACGTACGCAGTTTAACCATGCCCACACTGGATTTTTTTGTTATTTTTCCTAATGTTTTTGACAGTTTCCTGTATGTGGTATGAAATCTATGAATGCTGTAGAAAAGCCTCATTACCTGGATATATATTAACATTTAATTGCTGGGGATAGCACGGAGTTGTAGAAGGCATTCTGTAAACAGCCAGATCCCTATGTGAAGCAGGAGGGATAGTAAGAAGGAATGATGTAGCTATACTGCTTCTAAACTAGAGTAGGAATATATTCTCACAAAACTTAGAACAGTGTAATTCATTCCAACTTTTCAGTTTGGTGGTTTGGGTTTTTTTGGGTTTTTTTTTTTTTTTTTTGAAGGAAGGTTGATCAGAGCTCATATGCAGCTGGTATGCAGCCAAGCAGTTCACACTGACAGGAAAAAATGCACTGGTAAAAATATTCTCTAATGGACAAACCCTACAATTAGAACTGTAACACTATTACTGACCTTAGGAGAGAACAGGAAGGGTAAATGGTGTAGTGGTGCTGTAGAAAAGAAGCCTGTTTTGGAAGGCAGAGAAGTAAAAGTTTAGAAAATTTGCATAAGGGGCTGTATGAAAGATAGTTTTATCACAATTTTGTCTGCTTAGCACAGACGTATAGAGTTTGAATTTCAGTTTAAAAAAATCAATAATTGTAACCATTTAGTTCAAAATAATGTATGAGCCTGAAGTATTTACTGGAGTGTTTCAGTTCTGTTCAGGGATGAGAAACAGGAAAATCAGTTCATCTTCCTCCCATTTCTGACATACAGTATGTCTTTGAGGCTGTTGTTCAGAATTGTTGCTTGAGAACTTATTAAAACATAGGTGCGTTTGAACTATTTTTAGTTAATTGCCTTGTTATTGAAAATACAAAAGTCTTCCTCCCCAAGACACCCCTTCCTCTCAGATACTATCTTCTTTAAGTTGAGCCAACAGGTAAATATCGAAAGCTTTTTCTCAGCTTGCATTTACCTTTAAAAGCTGCTGTTGCTTCTGTGTCAAACTAAAGAATGGCTTGTGTATCGATGCGTGACTCTTTTCTAAATATATCAGTTGAAAGAAAAAATTACCAGAACAAACAACAGAAACAAAAATCCTTGCAAGACGTCCAACCATCTATTTTGGTAGAAGTGGAAATCCACTTCACCTTTCATAATGCCGCTAGGTGTCACTGTCCGTTAGCCAGACTCCAGAAACTCTCTTATTTGCTGTGGGAACTTGCCATTTCAACCTCAGCATGCAAGCTACACGCTGTGCTTCTGTTGTGTGTATTTTGGGGGCGATGCTGTTTCTAATGTTAAATAGTTATATAAATCCTGAAATAGGTTTCGTTGAGGCTGTTGCTCAAAATGTGTGAAATTTATGTCTGGTCTTATTTTAGACATGGAAAATTGATAAACTGATAAACTGATAAAATTCAGTCGGTAGTGCTATTTGTATCCTGTGCTTCCTTTGTAATGGGTTGTTGTGTGATCCTTGGTACAAATGAAAGCTTAGCATTTGCTATCAAAACTAGTTTGTTAATGATTTTTTTTTTCCTGTTTAGGGAGATATTTGTGAACCTGATTTTATAAAACAGCTCTTTGAAACTGAGAAAATAGATATAGTCCTTCATTTTGCAGCCCAAACACATGTAGGTGAGCATTGTTGCATATTTTGGTGTTATTTTCCATGAGTATACCTGTTTGAAATATATACTGATATTTTTTGTCTTTTCCCTTCATATAAAACACGGATACAGTTTGACTCTACAAACTACGTGATTCAGTGTCTGGTGGCCTTTTTAACTTAAAGGGGTTCACAGCCTTAATTTAAAAAGTGCTTCATCTGACTGTTGTCTGTTTTCATTGTGCATAAATGGTAATGCCATTTTGTTTGTTTGTTTTTGCATTACATTTTTAAATTCCAGTTAGACGCGCATGTAACTGACAGTGTACTAGTGGAGTCATTAAGACAGTGGAAAAAGAGTTTGTACATAGTCTTAAGTTTTTACTTGATTGGCTCCAACCTTGCAGGAAAAAACACAGTGGAAGCTGAAGGATTAGGCATAGCTCCCTTCAGAATCCTGCCTGGATCCTAAAAAGAGAGAATGAATTACACTTACAAGTGCCTATTTCGGATTACCACTCTTCAATAACACTGTTAGTGAGAACTATCCGTACCATACTCCTTTCATCACGAGAAGAAATTCTTGAAGAATTCTCCAGGAAAATACTCAAAATTGTCAGATTTGATAGGCACAAAGTCATTAGGTCCGTGGGACAATTCTAAGAATTAAAACAGGTCCTAGTTAATTAACAGTAATAGGTATGTATTACTGCGTCTTACAGCTGTCTTTGACACTTTTCTTACTGAGCTTGGCCTTTCCAAGTGGAGGGGGGGAAGTAGTTATGCTGCACTTCAAGTTAGATAATGCTATTTCAAATGGAACTGGCCATAACCAACAAGCCTTTGCTCCTGATTCCAGCCTCTTGTTGAGAGCAAGGGTTTTGTCTTCAAGTAAGTGTAGAAAGTGTCTTCATTTAATAATGACCTTGCTATCTGACAATCAAAGAACTTAGGGATAAAGTCCCAGTCTATATTGCAGCCTCTAATATTATGGTTCAATAGGAAGCCGTGTCTTGCCTAAATTTAATCACAGTTGCCTGATTTTTTTTTTTTATGTAGATCTTTCATTTTGGCGTGCCCTGGAATTCACCTATGTGAATGTTTATGGCACTAATGTGCTGGTTGCTGCTGCACATGAAGCCAATGTGGAGAAGTTTGTCTATGTTAGTACTGATGAAGTATATGGAGGTAGCACTGATGAGGTGAGTTTGAAAGTTCATGAGGGTTTTTCTAGCTTTATTTGCTTTTAATAGTGAAACCGAAATGAGTATAACTTTTCTTGGCCTCTGTAAATGTATGACTTTCGAGCTATTTCTGACAGTACTGGAACTTGTTTACAAGCACTGGTTGTTTCTAGAAAGCTACGTATCAAAATTGTCCTGAATATTTTTTGTAGCGTGTTTTATATTGAATGTGTATTACCTAAAGCAGTGAGACTGGAGTCATTAATGACATGTGAATACTACTCAGGCATAGTATCAAAGGAATATATTATACAAATTTTGCCTTGGAGCATTCATGAGACTTCAGTAATGTGCACAGTATGTTGTTCTTTTTTTTTTCTTTTTTTAATTTTATTTTTTCCTACTCTGCCTTGACTATGAACTTGACAAGGAGGGAACTGTTTTACACTCTAGCTAAAATACTAACAGAACTGTAGGCACTGACAATTCAAACAGGAAGCAGTTCCTGTATTACTGGAAGAAATATGCAGATGTTTCTTGTCATTCTATGGAAATCTTTTTGATTCTTGCCAATTTATGCCTGACCTTAATTCAGGAAATGTAATTTAGCTCAGCAAAAAGACAAATTCTGCATGCTCGTCTTTCTAAAGGCATAATGACCAAGGAGTCTTGTGCCATAATCCATGAAAATACTAATGTATTTCAGAAAAGTCACGTGCACTTTCTTATTGTTCTTATCTGTTCCTTCAACACAACTCCAATCTGCAGACTTTTATGATACCCAAGGATGTTGTTTTACTGCATGTAGACCAGTGGTTTGGCTGAGAACCACTTCAAGTGAACTTCTTCTGCCTCTGGGCCTTCAAAAGAGCACTTTCTTTTAATCTGTTTTTTGTTCTCTTTGTGAATCATAGTAGAAGTTCTTGAAGAGAGGGTTTTTTTGTGGGGGAGAAAGGTCAGGAATGAAATTGGGGCCAATTAATTTCAGAGGCAAAGGTGATTATTATGAATTGCACTTCAGGCAGTGTAGAATCCCTCCTTTCTTTGGTTCATTATTGGTGTGGTTTGGGGTTTTTTTTGTTTGTTTTTTGTTTTTCAAGCAAGAAGATAGAAGTGGCAGGGGAGCCGTGAAGCTACCTATTCTGGAACAGGTCAGAACTGTTGAAGCCTCGCTTTGGAGGACTTTGGGTTGAAATTCTACTTTTCTTGTAGAAATCAAGTTTATAGAAAAGGGAGAATGGACTCCTTTTATTTAGGGCTGAAAGGTCAATTTGCTAGCTGTGGTGCAATGGTACTGTGAAGCAATATGAGCCTGAAAAGGATTGAACCTCCCTGTGGCAACAGTGATTATTTTAAAAGATAAAAATCTAAGGACCTGATAGTGTGAGGTACTCTGCTAGAAGTATAAAAATATTACTGCTGGTATTCTGGCCGCCTCCTGTCTTTGATAAATAGACTGTTTTTTGTTATTGGCCTTCTGGTGTAAGTGACTTTCTCAGACTGGTGTACTTGGATATTTAGGGATTTTTAATTCTGTTGCAACTGCAGCTTTTGTAACTTTAAGACTTATCTGGGCAAAAGAAATTGAGTAGTGCAAATTTTTCTTTCCATTTTAGGAATTTGATGAATCCTCACCAAAACGTCCAACAAATCCCTATGCCTCCTCTAAAGCAGCTGCAGAGTGTTTTGTTCAGTCTTACTGGGAAAGGTACCAAGTAAGTTGATGCACAAGCTTCAAAAACCTTGAAGCCAATACTTAAGTGTCTGTATTATGTATGTAAGAGAAAAATCAGTACTAGTCCACACAGTGCAACCTCTTTCCTGGTTGCTAGTCTTGTAGTTTGGGTGTGTCAGAGGATGTCCACCACTTATTGGTGGAAATACACTGCAAGACAGTGGGAAGAGGTCAAATGTGTTTATTTTTTTTTGAAAAACTGAACTGTAATGTCTAAAAATGTTCTTTGATAAAATGGTCAAAGAGAGCATTAGCAATTCTAAAAAAAACAGTGTTAAGCTTGAAGGAAATCTGTTTATACAGAAGTATAATACGCAAAATTCAAATTGTATTAAGGCTAGGCTTATAGTGAAAGCAAAAAAAAAAAGAAAGAAACTGCCCCCCATTACTCAGATTTGTTTAAGCAAAAATATTTAAAATTTTGAATAGTCTTTTGTTTGTGACGTCCTTCTGCAATGTTGCGTTGGACATAAAGTTGACTTGAATAAGATGTTAATGACTGTGGAACATTTTCTTGGAATAAGAAGTAGTAAGCCAATATTCAGTCAATGAGATAAATGTATGTAATGTCCTGTGGTGGTTCCATAGCAAGACAGAGATTACAAACGTGTCGCTTGTGGTGCTTCTAACAGACTGAGAAGGCTGGAGGCCCTTGCCTATTTGACAGAAGTATGAGTAGCTTAATTCATTAATGTTTGTAAGGGCTTGCAGATTTTTGAATAAGCACTGTGGGTGTGTCAGTTTATAATTTATTAATATAAGTAATATAATAATAAAATTATAAAAATTATAATTTATAAATATCAATTTATAACTGATCAGCAAGAAGCCTACAGATATTTACTGCTGTATATTTTCTTATGTAATCACATGCATGTTTAATGCTCTTAAGTTCCCAGTTGTTATCACACGGAGCAGTAATGTTTATGGACCACACCAGTATCCAGAAAAAGTAAGTTAAACCTGTGCTTTACTCTGAGCTTCAGTATACCATAATTTAGGGTTGCAGTGATGCAACATCATCTTTTTTCATAAGACTGGACTGACTTTTGAAAAAAGCAGTGTCTTGCAAATGTATTTGTCCACACTTACCTGTGATTATATATTTTGATCTCACACTAACGCGTCTTACCATCAACACAATGAACACAGGTTTTTTGGTTGTCAGTAAAGCATCAATTAGAGATTTCTAGTTATTTACATGATTTTTACTACAATGACTTTCTTTTGTAATTTTTTTAGTTTTCAAAGGATATTTAGCTGCCCTGTGTCTGGCAGGGTTCCCCTACAAATTACGTTAACTCACATGTCATGTGCTGTAATTAGGAGTGTTTAATAACTAAGGTAATCATTTCAAAAAGTAAACTGTGAGAAAGCAGTACATCTGGGATAGAAAGATATGTTCCAACCTGTACAGAAAATAGGTAAGATGAAGCTGTAGCAATCAGATATGTGGTGAGAAGTAGCCCAAAGCGACTTGTTCTTTGCCTGTGTCCATACGTACCTCGCGGGGTAACTATTTAAAATGGTTATTATTGAGAGGGAGTTGCCTTTGTAGGCAATACCAAGGTCTGCTATGCTAGTGAATGGAAACACACTGATGGAATCATAGTGATAATCATATAAACTCTTTGGAGTTAGGGGCTTGTGTGCGAAATATAGCTATACTTCGCAGTTCCAGTGAGATATTTTTTAATTTGAATTGCTTTTTGTGTTGGGTTTTTTTTGCAAATAAATTTATTTTCCCTGCATTATTGCAGGTGGATAAGCAATGTTTTTTTAAAGTATGTATTCACTGACCTGTGGCTTGGGAAATGTCTGGCTACAGGTTGCATCATTTTGGGAGTATATTCAGGGGAAGGTATCACTATTTACTTGCTTGCAGCTTATATATATTCTTCCTCAAGTATCCACTTTTAGTTACTGCTAAAAACACAATACTAGGCTAGGTGGATCTTTAGTTTTACCTAGTATGTCTGGTCAGATGTTTAGAGTAGTAAGTTAACAAAATTAAAAAACTGGAATAGCTTTCTAATGGCTTCAGTTTAAAAACTTTAAAAACTTCAATAGTGGGACCAACTGTTCTGAAGTTTCTGGGACATGATGAATGGATCTAAGCTTGTAGCTGAACATAACATTGTAAATCTTTGTGCTGCAAGCTAGTGGCTATCACTTAATCCGTGTTTACTTATCTTGAAATTCTCTATTGTTTTTTCTCCAAATTTAACTATTTTAAATGTAAAATGTAATGTGTAAAAGATACTCTGCTTACATCAGAATAAAATAATCATTGCAGTTTCTAGGCTTGATGCATTCTTTGATTAGACTTAAGAAAACTTAAAAGTATTTAAAGGGTCTGATTAAAATACTTAATGATACTTACTGGTGAAGCCTTGTGTTCTTTGGAGAATAATAGCTTCTAAAATAGCAGAGTAATGTTTATTTTTTTGTTCAATTCCTTAGGTTATTCCAAAGTTTATATCTTTGTTGCAACAGAACAGAAAATGGTATGTAATTTGCTTTTTTGTGTGTGGTATTTGTGCTGTAAAACTGTAATTACAGTTATAAATATGTGGTACAGTTTGTAAAATGATAATTTCATAACTGAGTTATGAATTGCTTATTTTAATAATATGATTTCCTTAAAAAACTAAAGGATTGTTTGCATGTCAGCTACTTAAGGTACCTCCAGGTCACTGCCAACAGCAAAACTGCTTAAAACACAGTCTAATAAATTGAATGCTTCTATTTAAGGATTAACAAAAATTTCTTACCTTTTCCTGATTTTAAGCTGCATTCATGGTTCTGGACTTCAAAGAAGGAATTTCCTTTATGCAACTGATGTAGTAGAAGCATTCCTTACGGTCCTGAAGGAGGGGAAGCCAGGAGAAATTTATAATATTGGAACTAACTTTGAGATGTCCATTGCCCAGCTTGCTAAGGAGTTAATCCGTTTAGTGAGTAAACGGTTATGATGCTTTTCTTTTTCTTTGCACATATGAACAATTCTACTATAAACCTTTTGTAGCTCTGAGACAGCTTAGGCTTGTGGTGGGTCTTAGAAAGTTGTAGGAGAACAATGTGCTACGCTTTCTGTGGCAGCTGTAGTATGTAAGTTTGCAGTACAGGCTATCTTGCGTTGCAGTGCTGCATCAGTTATCCCGACTGGGGCATAACTGGCATAATGATTAAATGTCATTTGGTAGGTTTTTTTCATGCTGGCTGCTTCAGTTTTGGTCTGAGAATGTGGCACTCTTAAAATCGAATAATTTGATAATGAATGGTTAGGCAGTGCTTGGATGAAGGAGAAGTATTGGAATTATTCTAGATAGTTTTGATAACTTCAGTAGTTTGAAAACTCGGTTTAGACAAAAGACCATTTCTGTTTTTTTTTTTTTGTTTGTTTTGTGTTTGTTTTTTTTTTTTTTAAACAAACTTAAATCTTGTTAAAAAATGTTTTTAAATGTATGTTAACACAGTGCAAGATGTGGGGGTGTGGTTTTTGTTTCTCTTCTTGACAGATAAAGAAGACCAGTTCAGAATCTGAAATGGAGCACTGGATGGATTATGTCAAAGACAGGTAAGAAAATAGCGCAACACATGCAGGATAGCTTTATCCTGAAGGTTTCGGGTCTCTTGCCAAATAGTTTTTTGTGAAAGTGTTTCTGCTCTGCAGGAGGGAAAACTTTTGAGGGAGGGAGAGCTGTTTTGCTTTATTAATTTTTTTTTTTTTTTTTTCGCTAATGGACTTGACATCTATGATCTGTACAGAACACCTCGTAGAAAAACAGGATTTCCACTTATTATTTGGATCTTTAGGTCAGAGTACATGTCTTGAAGGGGAACGTGTAATGCTAATCTGTCTGTCTTCAAACTTTCTTCAGACTTCTCACTACTGAAGTCTGCTCTGGGAAAAGGACAGGTTTTACACAATAGCTACATCTTTTCTTAAGGGTAGTTTAGGTAGTTTATTCAGTACTTTCTATTCAACATCACTTGAGTGAGATGAATCCCATCGTCTCTCATTTAGCTTTAGTATTTTGATGTTAATGTGACTAGTTCAGACTTAGATGTGCTTTATAGGTAAGACCCACTCTCCACAGGCGGAAATATATGCGCCTATGGAGTGTAGTTAATTTCAGATTCCTATCTTAAGCTGAAACGGCTGTCTCAAAAGTAGATGTAAAGCTCTGAGGTGCCAAAGTTAGGGCGGCGGCAAAAATGGATAGCTTTTATAAATATGCTTTTGCTGTGTGTTTCCATCCTTAATTTCAGGCTTGGTTTGGCTCTGTTCTTTTATCTCCCTTTCTTTACTGCAGCAACAATGAGTCTCTGCTTACTTCAGATATCACTCTCTTTCTCCAGAGTGATTAGAAATGACATATCTGCTGATAGCAGTTAAGTATTATTATGGCCTTTAGAATTCTCACTTTCTGTTCACATTTGGATTGTTATCATGGCAACGGAAGGGTCTTTAAATGTACTCATTTTTGTTTTTAAAAGGAAGTGTTCTTCAGAATCCTATCTGAGCGTATCGCAGGACTCTTGAACAAATTGCCTTTGGCTCATGTGATGTGAGTGTTCAGTAGGTCTCAGTGTAATTCAGATGGAGATGTTTCTTCATGTGTATTGGGCCCTGTCCGCTAATGTTTAAACATAAATGGGCTTGGGAAAACTAACCACGTAGGAATACATCGTTTCAAAGAATGTTGAGGCTGTATAAAAGTATCTTAAGATATGTAACTAATTATTTAATTCTATAATGAGCAACTTAAAGGTCATGGGGGTTACTTGCCGTGCAAAAATCAGTTCTGCTGCTGCTTGAGATTAGCATGTTTTAATAATGGTGGTAAGTAACTGGTTTGTGTCTGCACGTGTAGCTTACCTATTCGGTATGCTAGTGCCAGATGGAATGCTAGACGAGACCACTTAACTGCCAGATTGTGGAAGTGAGAATTTGTGCCAGGCTTAAATGTAGGGAATCTTTGTGTGTGTTGAATCTTACAGCCTGGGATTCTACATATTCAGTATTACTAAGTTTGTGTAGCTAATGAAGCACTGTAATGACAATGTTTTGGAAGTCTGTGTATTTCAGATCTGAAGTATGTGGAAAATTTGTGAGCTTTCAGGATGAAAAATGTGAATGCTGATATTGGCTTGCATAGTGACTGTCTAAAGAGTTGCAAATGCACTGATTTGCACAATTGCATTGGCAGTGATGCGAGTTTTGCATTCATTTTTGTGCCAATAAGATATTAATTCATATTTATTCTAGTCAATTCCAAGTAGTTGACTGTACAAACTGAATTGTATTGTTGCAGCTGCACTCAACTGCCGTGTATTTTTTGAAGGCAATATCGTCTGTTCATGTTCATTGGAATTTTCAAAATTGAAGCATACCTAATGTTGGTTTGAAGACAATGTGAGGTACTGCATCTCTAACTAATGAAAAAGTCTAATCACATTGTTTTCCATGTGTATTTTATACTTCATCAGACCTACCAATGACCTGAGATACCCGATGAATTCAGAAAAAATGCATAACTTAGGATGGAGACCTAAAGTGCCTTGGAAAGAAGGAATAAAGAAAACAAGTAGGACTGATGCCTTTCACACTTATTGATTTAGAAATGATGGGAGGAGGGAAAGGGAAA